TGCCGTCAACTGATTTGCACCAAAGAGGAATCGAAACACGCCACACAAAATGCGTGCTAAATATTTCCTAATAGACTGGGAAACAAACGGAGAGCTCTATTTAGAAGATATTTCAATATCTTCTCAAGCAAAGTTTTACCTTCATTTCTACGTGTTTTACCGAAGCAAGGAGATACCGGCAAAACTGTTACCTCAGTTCAGATTTCTTCATGTGCCAAGGAATTCTACTGTAATGTCTTTTTGTGAAGTAGACTGGGAAGCTCTGTCAACTATTCTTATAGCTAGGAATCCCCGTGTTCTTATTCAAGAGAAAAGAGATATCATTTTCGTGTCCTCGGAACCGGAGCAAGTTTTCGCAGGGTTGATCGAAATACTAAAGGAAGAAAAAGTGATTTACAAAACCGCGGTAACAAAAGAATCAACTATCATTGACGAATTAAAATTCAAATGCGTCAACTGCAGGATGATATTTCGAAACAAGAAGGAGCTGAAACAACACGATGATAGATTCTGTGGGTACTTTGAAGGTTGTCTGACAGGCAAGCATAAACGCAAAATAGGATTCTCAAACGAAGGGTCTGAATTTGAAGAAAAGATCTCAGACGCTGATAAGTGCAATCCATGTACATCGAACTGCGTTCTTACTTATTGCCCTCATAGAAGCAGAAAGGAAGACATGAAAACAGTGCACAAAACAACTTATGTCGGCAAAACTCATCCCTGTTGGAGCAAACATGACACAAACGAGTTTAGTGCACATTTTTTCTATGGATACGATGCGTTGCCATGTTTGGCAGTGACGGGGTGCCCGCGCACATTCCGGACGCTTCAAGAACAGGCACATCATCACGTGACCGAACATGGCTGTCAGAAACCTTATTTCTGCATTGTGTGTTATAAGTTGTTGAAAGTGAAATGCTTCGAGAGCGAAACTGAGTTGTTGTATCATGGCAAGCTTGAAGGCCACTGTGAACCGGAGTTTTCTTTTGCATAACTTGCTCGCGTGTCCATTTTCAAAAGCGCCCAAACGAGAACAGTGTGCAAAAGAACAAGTTTCCGCGAGCATTGCACGAAGGCTACTTACACCCCAGCTTTTCAACAGATAAAGTACACCTTTTACCGCCCTTACTTCATGGAAAATATTGTATTTCTTTCTCATAACCCATCCCAAGAGATAAGTGGACCAGAATTTAGCTCTTTATTGACTCATCTATCGACCCCATCTGCAGACTCGCCAACCCCCAAAAGGCCAAAAAAGTGAGATTCTGAACCTAAAGCTGGAAAAAGCTGTGAGAAATGGGTAAAAAGTAGTGAGATGTCCCAAATTTGCAAGTGGAAGGACTTCTAAAAGGGATTATCCGTATTAGAATAGGAAGTCACCTATCACTTTAAAGCTGGAGCTGAAACATCACGATCAATTTTACGATTTGGGTTTTGTAATTTCTATGTTCAGTTGGCTGCCATCTTGAAACATGAGAAACTAAGTCTGCGCATTTGGTGGCAGGGGCAAGTCGCGGTGCGACTAGCTGCCAAAGGTTTTCTTTGGATTGAGCCTGCTATCTATCGATATCTAACTTGGAAACTAACCCCACAGCTCCAAAAATTTTTGGGAGTTTGACGTTTCGAGAAAGCGTGAGAAATCAGTTGCCAACTCGTGAGAGCGTGACATAGGTCGTGAAATCGCGAGACTCAAAAGTCGTGAGACTTGGCAAGTCTGCATCTGTCTCTGAATAACTTTTTCACCGGCAGATTCATAGTTGGATCTTTAAAGGGGCCATGCCAAGCTATTTGCTACCTATTTAAAAAGTTTACACTTGTCTTCGCATCAATTGAATTCCAAAAATAAATTAGTTTTGATTTTGCTTGTTTGGTTGCTTTTTCGATACAATATTTAGGCATTGAAACTGTTTTCTTTCGTCTGTTGCAACAGATGAATATAGATTGAAACTTGAAAGAGTTGGGCCAACTTGTTCAAGTTTTAATACTGTGACTGCAAAAATAACCATAAAACTATTAGGCCAGTTATTTAAACGGAGTTTAGCCACTGTTTAACAAAACCGCGTTCTAAGCCATTTTCAGTTTGCCTAATACTTCTATCGCGAAAAGTTTCATGAAAGCATAAGACGTAGACTGGAAAAGCACTTATTTTCCTAAAATTACCCCACTGAGGAAGATAGCTGAAGGTCCAAAGATTTTCTAAGCTGCGGCCCAAGTTAGACTTCGTTTAAATAATTACGTTTAGTGCTTCCAGATGAAATTGTTTGGTAAACCGTATCTTCTTCATTATCTATTAGATAATTTTGAATATGGATAAAGGCATCCTGCGTGCAAAGCCTCCTTCTGTCTTCTTCGTGAGAGAGGAGGAGAAAAGGAGTTTCTGCCTGAATCGCGTCAAACCTTTGAAGTTGCCGCAGCCCCGAACTTCTGTACAAGTCAATCTTGTTCTCTCTCTCTTTTTTCGAGCGCAAGCATCCGTTTATTGGTAAACTGATGTTTATAACCGAGCGCGAGCATCCGTTTATTGATAAACTGATGTTCATAACCGAGCCAGCAGTAGCAAGAACACCGCCCTTACGCCTGGGTTCCAAACTATATCCTGGCAACATTCCGCGCATGCTCAACAGAGCTCTTACTCGATTCATTCTCGATTCATGCGGAGTGTTTCTTGAGTACGCGAAAATCAAGCAAGCGAAAACAAATGCCCTGCTGACAGAGTGGCGTAAAGGAACTAAGTAATGACTACAGCACAGTTTTAACCAAAAACAGGGAAGTTTAAGCAGTGACGTGGTCAACCGGAAGTGAACTTTTTGTACCTTTCGACCGTAATTGGGAACAAATTCATGGGCAGATCGTCGCTACCTGGAACCCGAATGGGTTCTGAGTCAATAGCCCATTTGGCCTTCGGCCTCATGGGCTATTGACTCAGAGGCCATGAAGGCCATGATAAAAAATATCGAGACAAAACAACTTTAGCTAGCGAAACGCAATTCAGCCGCCATTGTTTTGGTTTTCAAAGCCGGTGCTTTTCGCTACCAGTGGGCTATAACATATAGCCTAGTAGTAGCTCAACCAATCAGAACGCAGCATTGATAATAGACCACTAGTTGGATTTTACTAAAAGAGTAAAGACACTTAGCAATCCAAATTTGGTAGCGTCAAGGCATATTAAAGAGAAAAAAAGCTCACTTCCGGTTAAAGTGCGTCGTTCAAAAACGTCACTGATTAAACTCCCTAATTATCCTCGTGACAGAGCCCCTTTAGGCCCCAATATCCACATACAAATTCTCCAAACTGATCTCTATACATTTCCTTTAAGAATTAATTAAGAGAATTTGATAAAAGATCAAAGTATTTTCTCTCAGGTGATCATTTTATTAATTCTCATAACCTCATCTCATGACAATGTATGGATATCGTTAGGAGAAAATTGCTGTTGGTCACTATTGGGACTGAAAGAGTTAACTACTACTGAAAGCCATAAACACGAGAAACAAATGACAAGATGGTGTTCGTTAGTGATATCTAGTTAAGAAAACACACAATAAACATGGAGGGCAGTCTAACGTCGACATCAAGTCCTGATTTTATTTGCTTGGTCCGATAGTGGTCGAACATACCGGTGTCTTTTACTTTAACGTACAATTACTACGACAAAATGTTTGGATTTTTGGAAAAAGCAATAAAAATAACATATTAAAAATATCGAAGGTTTATGGTCATTACAGTACAAGCGTCTTTCTAGAAGATGACGGTAACAAAACTTCAACTAATTTAAAGCGAGAGTATCGTAAGTCAACTTTCAATATGAAAACATTCCCTAACGATCATGAAAATAACGTTACCAAAATATTTTCATTTCAAAAATGACTTCTCTTCTGGTCGCGAGGAGTTTTTTTCGTTGTGTTTTGAGCCTTTCGAAACATTTACGTTTAACGATTTTATAAGTTAACATTAGGGGGTGATCATGTTATCAAAGCTCAAACCTCTTTCTTGGCTATGTATTGACTTTGTTTGCAGAAAACTGGGACTGAAAGAGTTAACTTGAGAGCAAAGCCTAACAAAGGGCGCTTTCCATTTGAGAACAAAGACCATTCCTCGTAACAGCGTGAGCTAAACTATCTATCCAGATCAAAATCATAAACAGTGTGCGGAAAAGGAAAAACCCTCGGAAAAAGCCGATTTCATAGTTAAAATGACTGGTCCGGCAATGGTCCGGCCGGCCAGTTCTGAACAGGCTTTCAAGCCAACAAACCTTAAATGCAGCGAAAATGAAGACGGCTCTGAAGACCAGCAAGGCGAAACAAAACAGTTAATCCTGACTTAAGAATTACGTCTTGCTTAATCTTCTGTTTTGGACCCCATACGTTAGTACAACAGGCCAAAACGAGCTAAAAACTAACAGCGAAACTCTTTTCTTCGAGCAAAATCAAGGCGAAAAGATTTCTGCGAAAGAAAAAGTAGACTGCGAGAACATCCGTAGATTAGAAACCTTTAGATTCTAAGAGGAGTACGACTACGGTAATTTTGGCGGGAAAAGGCGATAGCCGTCGTCATTCTAGTACGTCTTTAAAGAAGAGGTCGTAGTGACAGAACAAGTTATCAAATGTAAGAAATTTTATCACTTTGCGATCGAGAGGAGGTTTAACATCCTACAATAAAAATAAACGTGTTAACTTTGCTGGTAAAAAAAGAAACTGAAGCATTCCGGGGTGTCTAATTTTTTGGAATACGTGAGGAAAACTTTAAACCAAATCTCGTGTTCGTACTTGTACTAATCTAAAGGTCTTCATTATCTGCATACTCCCATGTATCGACAGTTTTGCTACCTCGGAGAAAAGTAAGTGACTACTTGCTGTCTTGGAATGCTATTGTGAGCTAAAACACCGAAATTGAAGCCCATTTGGCCAGGAACATAATAAGTAGGTTCAACCTCAGCACTACAACAGAACGTCTTAACAACAAACAAAAATTTGGACTAAACTAAAAGTGGTCCGAAGTTCCTATGAGTCAAGACGTGCAAGTTCCATAGTATAAGTGCCGATGGATTCCATATCGTACAAAACAAAGTAGATCTGCTTTAGGGACGATGCCATAACAGAAACAAAGTAGTTGGAGATTGCCTTGAGGATGGTCTGGGCTGCTATCTGCTTGGGGAAGTTGTTGCTGCTTTCAGGAGGAAACGAATAAAAAATGAAAATTAGAATAAAATTCAACAGTGGAGACAGTTCAGACCGAATTCGAGTGACCAATCAAATGACACCTCTTCAGCAGTTCTTTCACATGGTACTATTTATTTAGTACGTAATTCTAACTTTTAAGTCTGTGCATGAAATCCTATGGTGTGACCATTCAAATGAAACCTCTTCAGCAGTTCTTTCACATGGTACTATTTATTTAGTATGTAATTCTCACTTTTAAGTCTGTGCATGAAATCCTATGGTGTGACCATTCAAATGAAACCTCTTCCGCAGTACTTTCACATGGTACTATTTATTTAGTATGTAGTTCTAACTTTTAAGTCTGTGCATGAAATCCTATGGTGTGACCATTCAAATGAAACCTCTACAGCAGTACTTTCACATGGTACTATTTACTTAGTATGTGGCTCAACCTTTTGAGTCTGTGGATAGACCATTCATATGAAACCAGTTCAACATTTTTCAGTCATTTCCAACTAATTTTCCAATGTATCTTTAATTTTTATATTAGTCTCTTTGAGAGGGTACCAAAGCTATCAATAAACCCAATTTTCCCACTGAAGGGAACACAGAGGGTCAACGAGAAACAAAACAATGTCAGACCAGTTGTGAAGTGAGAACTGCAAAAAGTTGTTTTTATTGAACATGGCATTCAAAAGGAAAGAGCAAGTATAAGCATACTTACGCGCCACTTCCAATTGATGGCATGGCAATTGATTTGATATTTTTCTCATCAGCTAATGTTAATATGTTCTTCACAGCCTTGTCCAGATTTTCAGTAGATTCAGTTTCATCTCCCCAGGTTGGGCTATGAACATGGATGACATACTGAGCTTTCAGATTTCGACCATCGCAGATGGCCGCTGTGAACAATACGAAGAGAGTGAACAGTTAGAACACTATGCAATCCAGATCTAATAGATGGCAGAACAGGAGCTCTTTTTTTCATGTTTTTAAGGCGAGCAAAGACAGTGCCATGGGGTCCCCTCGCTCGCTTTGTACCTGCCTTTGCTTGCCCAAAAAACAAACAAAATACGCAAGATCTGTGTTCTGCAACAGGCATCAACAAAACCTGGAGAAGAATCGTGATCAACCCCTGTATTAAAGTCACTACACTAGTGCGGAGGACGCATAATAGAAACCTGGAGATTAGGATTGCCGCTCCTCTTGTCGCCCACAACCATATCAGGGAAAGAGTTACAGGGGTTGAGATGATCCAAGTTTTGTTGATGCTATTCTGCTACCTCACGTATAAAGATTCTTACCTGATGCTAGTTCTAATGGGCCATGGGATTCTGACAGTTTCTTCACCTCATCCTTGAACTCTTTACCACCTGCTTTCTCAAGCACTGATCCTGGAAAAGAGAAAACAAGACTTGTAAATTTGACCACAGTTGAACCTTGGAGGAAGGATTAGCACAGCTGGTTAGTGCCTTCTGTGTGGGAGGTCCTGACTTTGATTTCCTTGGTGAGACCACAAATCCTTCCTTTGACTTTTTTTTCTTTCCGTGTAGCTTTAAAAAACCCATAAAATGAAGTACTGATGTAACGAGAGGTGGGGGCTCAAATGAGCGCACCGTCAACCTCAGGTTTGTTTGACAGATGACTTAAGTCAACGCTCTCTACAGTGGCACCCACTGTTCATCTTATTAGAGACATGTCCAGCCCGAGGAGTCTGTCTTCCAGAGAGGTGTCCATAAAGAGAGAGTCGACTGTATTTCCAGCTACCAACGAAACATGAGGACTCTTCACCTTTTTTTAAACCTTTATTAAGCTGCCACCTTCTATTAATAGGCCAGTAATAAAAGTCTCAAAATAATACTGCTCAACCTAAAACAAACTTTTCATGGAACTTTTTTAAAAATTTGTTGTCAGAATTATCACTTAGGAGGCAGGAATTTCCATCTGTCATGGCTGACAGATGGGTTTTTTATTTCCAGGCAGTTGAGATTATCGAATAGCATCCCATGTTTTACTGTTTATTTTCAAAATTTCACAAAAATGACAGAAAATATTCATTCTTCTCATTCAAATAATGAAGAAGAAATTAAAATGAATAGTACACAAGAATGTTATGGAAACCTGTAATGCTACACTTGAGAATAAAGAATACACGGTCTTGATTTGAAATACATACCTACTTCACCACCAAGATAAAATGTTGCATTGGTTGGGTGCACAATAGCATCTGCTTCTATTGCAGCAATGTCTCCTTGAATAACTGACAACTGAATAATGCAATAATTGAAAATTAAGTCAAGATTGTGGGTAATTTTTGGGATTAAACTTTTACAAACACCATGGACGGATTTAGGGGTGGGCCGAGGGGGCTGCAGCCACCCCTTTTCCTTCGAACTTCTGTATTATTTTTATAGAATTCCATCTCAGAAAAATTAAAACTATCTAGAATAGAGTTGTTAAGTGTCCCAGCCACCCCTTTCCGAATTTTCTGGGTCCGCCTCTCGACACCCATAATGTATGGTCATAAAAAAAGGTTAATTGCTGTCATCAAGTTTTGAAGCAGCTGACACTTTGATCAATGGCTACATCAAGTTCAAGCTCAACCGTAACAGACCTGACCCCAGTTGTTCAAATGTTGGATAACGCTATCCACCGGATAAATCACTATCCAGCTGACAAGTATTGGAGAAACTAATTGCACTATCCACTGGATAGAGATTTATCCGGTGGATAGTGCTATCCAGCCTTTGAACAGCTGAGACCTGTGTTACAGGTTACGGCCCTTAATAACACCTCTGAAAGGGTAACATTCCTCATGCCATCAAGTTGCAACTCTGGCTTGTTCTTCAGACACGTTTTTTCCAGATCAGTGCATGCTAACCTTTGTCTCAGAGATGATCTAACCCCAATAAGTAACCTTTGTGAAGCAATGCCGAGATCCTTTAGGGATCTGGGCCCCCAGTAGTGTTAATGACAGGATGTATGTTTTGAATTTCCATTCAACCTGACTGGCAAATCAACAATGGCTTTTTTAATACACCAATCATGGGTGTACTCAAATCCTAGTACACAGGTGGTGGCTCAGAACAAGGATTTCAGCACTGTTTCACAGCCAGACTTAACAAGATGTTTAGTTTTGTCTGTGACGCAGGCTTAATAAGCAGAAGCTGAGCTGTCACAATTTGTGTACAGATCCAGGGGCCCGTTTCTCGAAAGCCCCAATAATTAACGGACCCGGTAAGCTGTCTCCATTTTCATTAAAGATTGAGGTTTCAATAGCTTTGCATCTAGCATGATAGCATGATAAAACTATCAGTTTTAGTGGAGTAGTTTGCTAGCCAGGACCAGCACTCTCATTCTTTCTATTTCCATTTGAATATTTGATTTCGGGCCCAAAAAGTTACCGGGACTTTCGAGAAACGGACCGCAGGACACATAGCAAACCTGGTCCTACTATTCTGGGCCAGGTTTTTTGAAGCTAGGTCAAGATAACCCCAGGTTAGTGCAAAATTTGAACTCATATATGAGAGCTTAAAAAACAAATTCAATTTAATTCTCTTTGCCTGCAATTTGATGACTGGATACTCAAAAAACAATATAGAAAATTATACAAGAGAGTACTTTTGATGAAAAGAAAAAGAAGCCCACGTTAAAATCTAACCCTGGGTTAGCACTAACTGGCTTCGTAACAACTGGGCCCTGAAGTCTCGTGCACAAACAGGGTCCACCTAGGAGCCACATAATGATCAGAAGCTCACTAAAATCTCATGACTGTATTCTATGATGCCCTGCAACTTGCATGGTCAGTTTGTTTTTAACAGTGATAACAATGATGTCCTTACCTTTTGTCCCAAAAAGAGAGCTTTCTCGGAGAGCACAGAAATACCAGCTCCTGGTCCAGATTTATCGGCTCCTTTCTTTGCTGCAGGCTGGACAAAAAAGGGAAACATTAATTGAAAGAATTGAATCATTAGTTGGGAGCAAAGGTGGTCCAGTGATGAATGCATTTGCCTCCCATCATCATTCAAATCCTGGTGTTGACACCATATGTGGGTTTTAAAAGTTTGTTGTTGGTTCTCTCCTTTGCTCCAAGAGGTTCTTCTCTGGCTACTACGGTTTTCCCCTCTCCTTAAAAACCAACACTTACAAATTCCTGTTAGACCAGGAATTGGGTAGAAAAAGAACAGCCAAGTGGATGTGCTACTTTTATAACAGCTTCATTGAACAAAGAACTGAATTTTTGGGTGTGTACCAATGATGTCTTGCATCTTTTGAGCCAAATAACTTAAGGCGGAATCTACCAGGAAATTGAGTAATTTTAATTCTCAGTGGACAAAAACCTTGTACAAGAATAATTTAAAGGATATTGAGGACTCGTTTGTAAATCACTTATCAGTGAAATTGATATCCTCAATAAAGATTATTATTATTATTATTATTCCTTTCTACATTCTTCAAGGCCTAAAGATGTAATTAGTCATCTATAATAACAACAAAGAACATTTCTCATGGGAGTCCAAGAAAATGAATGTCAAATTTCACAAGAATTGTGAAAACACTGTTAAAATTCTGAAAATCGCATGAGTAACTAGGTGTAATTTTGTGAAATTTGACATTCATTTTCTCAGGCTCCCATAAGAAAATTTCTTTGGAGTTAAATTACAGATGACTATTATTACATCTTTATAGCCCTTGAAAAATGTAAAAAAGAATGCAATAAAATAATTATGCTTTAAATTATTCTGGTATGAGGTCTTTGTCCACTGAAAATTAAAATTACTCAATTTCTTGGTGGATTCCGTCTTAACAACTGTACTTACCCCCTTTTTCTTGCCTTTGCCAGAGGCTTGGGATTTTTCTGGTGTCTTTTTGGCTGGGCTGGCTGGCATTTTCTTGCCAGATGTCCCTGCTTTCTGTTTGGGTGCTGTACTCACTCTAGGCTTCTTTGGTTTTAATTCCTCTGGTGCTACTAGTTTGCCACCTTTTCTTTTCTTCAGAAGTTCTGGATGAATATTAGGCAGAACACCTCCGGACGCAATTGTTACTCCTTTCAGCAACTGAGGGGAAAGGAATGATCATGAAAATACTGTTAAGCCTTTCATTAAACACCCCCAATCTAGTGAAATTTGCCCAGAAAATAACCACAAAATCAGCTGCTTTTCGGCAAAATTTGTAAAGTCGGCCAATTTTTCCGCAAATTTGTCCCTAAAAATCCTGCGCAATTTGACTTTTTTTCCCTGCCACCTTTCAGAAGCCCTGTTTCAAGCTACGTTTGACCATCAATACAAAATTAAGATAGTTAACTGCGGCATGATTTTTTTTTGGGTGGAGCCACTTGGATACTGAATATTTTAAAGTGGTGAACCCCATTTCTGTTAAGTTAGTTCCCAGCATTAAATAAAGAAAAAGGCAAAAACAAACTAGGAAAAACGTTTTCCTAGATCAGCGAGTTCAACTGTATTCAGCAGTATAGCAGTCACAATGTATTATAAACAACTGGTAATTTTCCTGAATATTTTGTTTTCTATTTTTCCTATTGGAAAAACGAGAATTTTTTTTTTAAAAAAAATACAAGGTCTCGTTCCCGTACAACAGTTTTTCCTACACTCTCTTGCTTAACACATTTTTCTCAAGACAACTAAAAGAGAATGCAAGAAATATAACTTGGCACTCATTTCACTCGCTCTTCTAAACTATCTATCCCTTACCCAACACTGAACACGGCCTCTCCCGGAATCAAAGAAGACAATGACATCAAAACGTGAATTTATTACTTGAATAAGAGACAGGGGCAAGACTGATTAACATGCCGGAAAAAAAATAAAACGTGGGCGCTGGGATATAAACAAGAAATCTTCAGGTGATTTTTCGGAGTTATCAATCAAAGGAGTGGATTATTTTCAATGATCATAGCATTTTTACAATCAATTTCGGGAACAACAGCCGTTTGACCATTGGTTGATATTTGTTCGAAATCTTGATCAGCAAAACGAAACAAAATCTGCTCCGTTAATAAGATACGAAAAAGAAACTTCAGTAAATCGTATTTATCCACGCCGATCATTCAACAGTAGGTAGTAAGTCTTTATTTCATGGCAAATATGATTGAAATATATAAGCTTGGATAAATTCTGTGGCAATCTTTGTGCTTAGGGGTCAAGCAAGCGAACTCTCGTGGGCTAAACGTGGTTACACTAGTTGTATTGTCAACTGTGTTCGAGAATTTAATCCTTGTAAGATATGCCATGGGAGGACATATCACACGAAGCAGACAGGACGAATTCCAAAATAGATTTGCATGTAAATTTCAATTTGACAAACAAGAACCATCTGCCAAGTTCACTTTGTCTCTTGACCACCATCTAATGATCGCTTCATGGGCGATCATCAACCAGTAAACTCGTGTATATAAGAAATCGTTAAAACTTACCTGATGTAATTCCTCGTCGTTGGCCACAGCGAGCAAAATATGTCGAGGGATGATTCTTGTTTTCTTATTATCCCTCGCGGCGTTCCCTGCGAGTTCTAAGATCTCGGCCGTCAAGTACTCCATGACGGCTGCTTGATATACGGGAGCACCCGATGCGATACGATAATGATGAGTTGCTTGCCTTAAATATCGGTGGACTCGGCTGACTGGGAATTGGAGGCCGGCTTTAGCCGAGCGAGATATAGCTTTCGCCCTTTTGGCGGCCTTTCCACCTCTAGCAGACATGTTTCTTTACTGTAATCGCGGGAGACAGCCACACAACTCGCACACAACGAAGGCAAAATTAGCGTGAAGCGTTGCGTCCGTCAGGGTGCGGATTAACCAATCAACTGACGGAAGCCAACAAAGGGCGCTTCCATATATGGAGTAAAGCGTCACTGTGCTCCAGCTTGGTTTTCGCGTGGCGTCTGTTTTCGAACAAAGAAATCAGCTGAAAGGTGTTAGAGGCACAATTCAAAAGATCAGTTTAGCACCGCCTGACCTTACACTCAAAAGTTAACACCATAGCATGTACTCGCCGTGGTCGTTTACAGCCAATACGGCAAAACCACTGCAACCGTAACTAATTCGTCACGCAATCTTGGTTAAGATTGTTGTGTGACGAGCCAAAAATTCCAAAGGATCCCAAAGGGGATCACCCTGGTCTTAATCTTGCGCGCAAAGGAACAACGCGCGCGCCAATCCCGCAAACTAAACATTCTGAAACTGTTTTGTGCATATAATTTACAATACTTTTCTTTAAAGTTCATTGAGGCATGTTTTGTCCCAGGCCACAGCATTCAAGAACAGCTCCTGGAAAGGTGTATTATGGGTAACATGTGCCATGGATGAGGTACAGCGGAGAGGAGTGGGGGACGATCAGATCTGGATAATCTATAGCATCATAGACTGAGCCATAAAATGACCTATGTTAGTTCTAGATCAATTTAGGTTTCCGGGAAACTTCCCACCTACCCCTCCCCTAAACCAACATTTTGCCCTAAGTGAGAAGTACGTGATAATGTTGACTTAGGGGATGGGTGGGTGGTCAGTTTCCAAGAAACCTAAATAGCTTTTGTATCCCACTGGAGCTACATAGCACAACAATATTTTTAGCTGAGTACATGACGGGGCATCTTCCTGGATGACTGGACAGAAGTAAATGAAAATTACAGATTTTTGACCAACAAAGCTGGTTATAAACAGGAGATGCTGCCACATGACAACTCCTAAATAACAGTTGAACCTCTGCACAACGGCCACATTTGGGGCAGAAGATGGTGGTCATTGTAGAGAGGTTTAAAACAAGAGTCAATGTATGGACTGTCTGCTAAAAAAGTGGTCGTTGTACGGACGTGGCCATTGTAGAGAGGTGGTCATTAGTGTAGGTTTGTCAATTGTCTGTACTCAATGTTAACCAAGCATGTGAGATATCTGCATTAAAAAAGATATCCATCAATTGCACAGCTGCTTGTCACTGTCTTATTTACCAGTGGACTATTGTATAAAAACATGAAGAACTTTGTCTCTTAATAATTGCCACTCACGTTCATCAATGAACGCTACATTGTCGCAGGAGGCAGCTGAGCGCTTAGAGCACTGGATTTGCAATTTGGAGGCTGCAAGGTCAAGTCCCCACCCACCGAACGCTAGTTGGATTTGTTTTCAGTCCTCATGAGTTCAATCCTTGACCACGCTTGTAAATAGAGTGTTTTCACATGACGTCATGGCGGCCATATTGGTGTTCCAACACAATGAAATGGCAGCCATTTTGGTGTTCCAAATCAATCCTGAAAGGAACTGAACTCTTTTCTTATGTAAACTCTCTCTTTTGTTCCAATAAATTTGCATAGATGCTGGACACCTGAGTGAAAACGCTCTATAACCAACTGGTTTGCCTCCAGCAAGTTGGGATTCTTAACCCCAGTATGTTGAATATGTTTCAAGCATTTGCTTGGCCCCACTAGCATTAATACTAAAATTACTGGCGAGAATGTAAAACAGAAACTTATTTATTCAATTTATTTATTGCTAAAAAAGGTATTTTAAACAAAAATAAGGCACCTCTTTATTTACATGACATTTTACACTTCTCAATAATCCAGTTGGATTACAATATCCTTTGTTGCCCTGTGAAATTGATGGAATTCACTTGATTGGCAGCTGTCAGTAAGCCATGTCCTTCAATGATCAAGCTAGGAAGGTTACTGAATGACCCATAGTCCTGAAAAACCAGTATCAAAGTTATAATTAAAATGTACATTACTATGACCTCTGTTTTAAGACCCATCTTAACTCATGATCAAAGGGGGCTGAGATCTAATTCTCAATAATCTTTCACTCCTAACAGAGCTACAGTAGGCCAAATAAAAATAAATTCATCAAAAAATTCAAGAATTTCTTTTTGTAAAATCCTGATTGCAAAAAAGGTTTCATTTGGATGGTAACACTGTAGGATTTTGCACACAGATTTCAAAAGTTAAAGTGACAAAAACCTTGCTATCATATGATAAACTTTGTAGCCCCTTTTCTGAGAGAGATTGAGGATCCCTAAATTAATATCCACTTTTAAGTTTTCACTCAATTGTATTATTTAAATTAATAAGAGGCAAAAATGTCACAAAATGACATCTATTTAGTAAGCTGAGATCTTTATTTAAATAACATAAGTAACTTGTCAATAAAAGTACTTTTTCTGGGGCGCTTTCCATTTAGCCTTCTAAATTTCAAGAATTTTGAGTCAAATTGTTCATGATTCTACAGGGATAAAATTAATTGAAAAGCTATTCTTACCACCTTGGATCCTTTCTTTGCAGTTGGGTCTGTTTGGCACTCTTTATGCAAAGCTTCCAGTTTGACTAAGAATGAGCTAAAGTCTTCCAGCACCTGGTAAATTGTTTTAAAAAATCATATTACTGTCAGAGTTAAAAAAAAGAACAAACACACATGGCAAATTTTTTCAAGAATGTTAACTGTGTTTTGACCAGTCACACTGGAAGTCAGATCAACCTAGAAAACTGCAAAACCACAAACTATTAAGCTGGGCAATAAACATTTTTTTATTTTTAACCTTTTGTCTCTCACTGCTTTCTTGTAGTTTCTTTTTCTCACTTTCAAGCTTTGCTGAAATCCTAGTATAACAGAAAAAAAAAACATTAATATTTTATAATTTACAGAAACAAAATTCTCTCCTTAACTTCAACCCTCTTTCCCAGAGTCACCAAAGTGGGAACATTCAAATAACACCTCTACAACAGTACTTCCTCATCCAATGGTACTACAGTGAAACCTCTATTAACTGGACACCTTCGGGACCTTCCTAAGTGTCTGCTTAATTGAGGCTGTCCGCTTAATATAGATGCTGTAAAAATTGCACAATGTTTGTTAACTATCAACATTCAGTGGTTACTCTGTACTGTGATAAAGTTGCATGTTATTAAAGAAGCTATCCACAGTTCAAGTTCATTACCTTTCATTACCAACTTTAATTTGTTTGTAAATGCAAATTATTAACTAACTTCAGTTCTTATTTCAAGGATGTAACCCAACACTACTATTGTCAATTCAGTATGGTGTCCACTTAACAGAGGTTTTTAACAATAGATATTAGCCAAATACAACTTATTTTGTTGTCTGCGTCCACTTGATAGAGTTGTCCGCTGAATGGGGGTTCGTTATAAAGGGAAATATCAGACATTCGTTTTGGGACCCAGCTTAGTGTCCGCTTAATAGAGGGTGTCCGGTTAATTGGGGGTCCACTTAATGGAGGCTTCACTTGTATTTTTATTGGTATGCATTTCTAGAATCACGTGGTGCAGACTATCAAACAACTTAACCTCCCCAGACTAATTAACTGTCTCTCCCATTCAGATGGTACTATCATTGTGTTTCTCTTTTATTTTTGAAAACATGGTGAGTAACATTCACCTCCCAACAATAAGAAGTTTACTCCTATTCTTGGGAGAGAGAGGTTCAAATGGCACTCATATGGTATGAGGATTTGAGTAAAGGATGTCCCTGAACATCTTTTTAATACACTGTACCCACTACCCATGCTGAATATAAATTTATTCATTTTCAGGCAAATAAAAATAATGTTACTATTTTATGCACAAAAACTACCTTGTCCGTTTTTGTTGAACACTTAGGAGTTCTTTACGAAGCTTGTTCACCTTTGATTTTGCCTGAAAGGTAACAACATTTTCAATCAACAAATCTCAGCCATACCAACAAAATGTAATGGTTTGTAATTTCCAGTTAAATTGTATTATTTCTATTGGTAGGTATTGGTATTACTGGTACATAATAATAAATTATTGTCTGACAGCTGAAACAGCTGGCATTTTGAGAATCAAGTTTATCATAAATTACTTTTAACTGAAGGGCAGGCAACCACTTTTTAGGCTTTTCATAATCATGGGAATGTCCTGAAATTAATGGTTAATTGCTTGACTGGCCCTTACCACCAGAATATCGGGAACTGGTTTGGCATTGAGGTTTTCCAAACTCAAGGTTGCATGCTGCCCATTGGCTCATAAGGAGCTCATCCACCCTTTGGTGACAGGTCTTGTTTTTATCATGCTTGCAGCTAGATGCCAACGACCCATCAATGTGAGAGAATTGTAGTGGGGTACATTCATACAAAAAAAATAACAGAGACAGAGCCCTTGACCAGACATAAGAGTAATAACTTAGTATATGATGGCACTTTTTATTGAATTGACAATAATTTATCATTGAAATGTTCACAAAAATACAAGATGCCATATTATTCCAAATGCAATCAAGATCTCATCTTTGAAATCAATCATTTTCATTCTATTTATCAAATTAAGTGAAATGCCTTAACAAAAATATGTGGAGGAATGTGTGGCTGAGCAGTTAACACCTCAAACTCCGGATCTGGAGGTCTGGGGTTCAAGCCCCGCCCATCGTGTTGTTTCCTTAGACAAGAAACTTTACTCCACTTTTTCTCCCCTCACCCAGGAATATAAATGGATAGCAGCGACATATCCCATCCAGGAGGGAGTAGCAATATTCCTACGCATGCTTCAAGCTAAAGAAGCCAGGATAAGCTCTGGCTGTTTGGGCCCTTGGCTCGTGTGTACTCCTTTACTTCATCAGAAGCAAAGAAGTCATGTCTGTTGCCAGGGGCTGGTGGATCTTGCTATCAGGCGAGTGAATTCTGTTCTTAACTTGCCCAATGGGTTTTAAAGTGAAGTTTTTTGGGGGAATTGAAATTACAGAGGTACTATAATCAATCCTGCTAATCAAAAATTTTGGGTGGGCTAGTTAAAGTGACTCTTGGGCTGGAACATGCTAGCTACAGTTTGCCCAAAGAACAAGCCGTATAACTGATTTTCTTTGCAACCTGGATGTCATATTTTACTAAACTCAATAAGATCTCATCTTTGAGTCCATAATTATTATTAACAATAATTATTGTTACAGTTTTTTGTGCTAGGGATTTTGGTCATTTTAGCCTTTAATTTCTTTACCTTGCAGTCAAGATTCATTACCATATCTCTGTCATACTGTACCTTTCTGAGGTCAGCTTTCAGCATGTGATTTTCTTTGTAAATATCAATCTGCAAAATAATTTATGGGAGAGTGAAAAATATATCACATATACAAATGGATATCAAACAAGACCGGATGTACACCACATTAGAAATTCATCCAAATATTATTGATTTTTATGCCAAAGGCCAATTTACATTAAAATCATAAGGAGAGGCAGGCTCAATAAATAAACAAATAAATAAATAAGAACCTATGATAGTATGACAATAAATACATAAATATACAGTTGCGAGGACAAAGGAGAAAAAAGGAGCCAAAGAATAATCTTCTAGGTACATGTATAACGCATTCCCTAGGTCCTAACTTTTTGTGCATGTATTGAAGCTGACTCATAAATCCAACATAAAAATACTTTTAGTAGTTTTTAATCAGCTGGGATCATTGACATATCTGAAGGGCACAAGCATTGTGATTTGCAACAAACCCACACCTTTTCTACCTCGTACATTATCATCATCATCATCATCATCATTATGTTATCACTATCATTAATAATCATTATCAATATTAAACCATTATCAAGCTATTATTATGATTAGAATTATAGTATTATCATTATCAGTATCATCAACATTATCATCAACATCATCATCATCATCATCATCAGTAGGAAAGAGCATGCATGGAGGAGGCCCCATGTGTTTAGTCACAACATACAGTTTCACTGAAGGATTTTCTCATTTGAATGAAGAACTCCTTTATAGCCTGTTTACCAGCTGAAGACCTCATTTCATTCCTGTAAAGTTTAAACAGAGGAAAAGAAACAAAATGAGTTCATAACAGGTCAGTCATCCTTTATATAGGATAAACCAACTCCCTGGAAACATTAATTGACGACAAAATGCAGTCAGTGTGTTAATTATTAGGCTGCCTGTGAGTGCAACGCGCAATCAAGAAATGAGTCTCATCTATGTCAAAAAAGGAAAAATAGTGGATGGAGCTCCAAGAAAACTTTGTGTGTCCCACCCTCGCTTCATGGGGCTGATTCTTGTGCGGAGGGGAAGGTCATCTGGCGAACAGACTTGGAAGTTGATTTGGAATGAACACAAAATTATTGCGTGGAGTTATTGGCCCTATATTTTCACTGAATGATTATCTAAATACAGTATTTGATAACGTAGTTGGCCTGCATGGCAGATGCAAAATAATCCTTCCATGGGAAAAGTTTGATTTAAAAATAGGTCATTTTACAGTTGTGTATGGAAGCGAGGCTCAGGGTGACCTTGTTTTGATACAAACCTTCCTGCTTTATTATGTAAATCAAGTTATTCTTATGCTAACCAGTATTTTTCAAGAACAATTTCCATAACAAAGCAAAGAAGGTTTGTATCAAAACAAGGTCACCCTCAGCCTCGCTTCCATCCATAACTGTAAAATGGCCTATTTGATAACGTAGTAAGCCTAAAGACACTTATTGCCTTAAGCCGCTCTCCCAGTGAAAAAGTTTAACCTGTTGATGAAAAAACAGCAGTTAGTAGTAGTTTTATTTTTGAACATCTGAGCCGAGATATCTTACTAAAGGAGGATCACACTCAAGCACTATGATAATAAACAAATGCAAAAAAAAAAAAATTAAATGGATTGAGGAACAGAAATTTTCCTACCCTGGGTTCCAGGGTATCTTATTTTCTGACAGTTTGTGGCAAAGCATCACTCTTCAAATAAAATGGCCAATGAAAAGTTTGTTACAACATTACGCTTATACTACACATGAGCGTGCAGAATTTGAATCAGAAAGTATTGTGTGACAACGGAAGATGTAAAGCTGCTAACAAGCAATTTGCACGCCTGTCTGCAGGAAGTTACAAGCTCGTTTTGCTTGTCCAAGCTCGCCTGTTATTGTTACTAGAGTAGATTGATTTACTAATCACCTGACGTCAAGGGCCTCTTCCTCTATTGCAGTAAGAATAACATCAAGATCTGTGATCTCTGAGATGCTATTCTTCCGTCCTTGATCCGCATTAAACAATCTCACAAAATTATTTTCTGGAGAAAGAAATACTTAAATTAGAGTGGGAAAAGTAGGAAATTTCCATTATCATCTTGACCTTGAGTTCTTTGAAACGTTGTATTTCTGATGGTAAAAATGAAAATGGGAAATTTGTGCCACAGTTGAACCTTTGCTAATGGCCATGTACCTCTCCACCATGGCCACAATTTTGGCCTGGTGAACAGTACATTATTCTGTGAAAGGTTTGAACCCAGGAGTTATTTCAAAAGTAGGTAGAGTTTGATCATCCGGGTGAACATATTCCTGAATAGGACTGTTTTTGTTGACAGTGACTGACATTTTGACAACCTGTGCGGTAGTCATCTTCAGAGTCTAAAACGTCAGTCACTGTCAACAAAACAGTCCTATTCAGGACTACATTCACCCAGACGATCAAACTCAACCTACTTTTGAGTACATTATTCATTGAATCATGTTATAACCTATTAGACGCATACGGCTACCTCTCCAGAGTGGCAACAGCCACTAAAATAACCTGTCCATCATGGCCACTTAAAAGTGAATGAATGATGTACAAAGTGATGTACCAAACTGTACCTAAATCACTTTGATTTATTTTGTTACCATAATTTTCTGTTCTTAACTTTTGGTTGTAAATTATTGACTGCAGTCTTGAAGTAGTTTTGAAAAAGCTTTTTTTGAGTTAAACAGTAATATCAGTAGTCATAAATTTCATTAATATTATTTTGCTATTATTACCTCTGTACTCATTTTCTAAAGAATCCTCTTCCTCAGTTGTTCTTGATTCAGCGTCATCTTTTGTCCTTTTTCTGCCTCTTTTTGCCTTTAATTTTCCAGGAACAGACAGTGGTGTCTTCTCAAACAGAGATGAGGAATCAGTTAAAGGTTGAAGATGATCATCAGCATGTAGCAAAAAAAAATTAAAATTAATTTATTAACTACTGAACTGTGGAGTTGTTCATGAAATTTTCTTTAACCTCTTTTGTAGTATATTATATAAAACAGAGTATAAATAAACTGGCAAAATTTAAAAGATAATAAAACTATCTTGTACCTTTTGCGATGGACTTGGTATTTTAATAACACTTGCTGCTTCATCTGTCAAAGATAACACAGCAACATTATTTGTAGCAGCTGGCCACGTTTCATTATAATAACGAAATGAAATTTTGCTTGCTCAGTTAATAAAAAATAATATTGAATAAGTCACAATCTTTGCTTGTCAGCAACACGACCAGTAAATAATGATATTACAATAATATTACTTTACCAGTGAATCAAAACGGTAGTAAAATTTTTACAAACTGCACACAACATAGCCTGAATTTCATCCGATTACTGCTCAGTTAATAAAAAAGTATTGAATAAAAAGTTTTCAAGTGGCAAACAATCATTTGCTCCGTCAGAACAATTGTAGTTCATGTTTAAAGTTCAAACAATCAACTGCAAATTGTAAAATGATATTACAATAACACTTAGTTCAAAAACAAAATGATTTGCTTTACCAGTGAATCAAAAAAAAAAAACAAGGAGAAAAGAAAGAAAAGCTAAAAATTTTTGACGGTGAAATAGCAAGAAGGTCAAACAAAATCACCGGCTGCCGAAACACAACAGAATGAAAACTCACCTACCGTAGAATAATTAAAATTTAACATTTCAGTTTCAAGACAAGGGCAATTTTGCTGTTTAAATAAAGATTAAGCCTAAAAAGAATGCCAGGGTTTTGCATAAAAATAATTATAACAATCAACCAATCAAAATCACTACCCGTTTTCGGGTAGTGAGAAACCGGTTCATTCAATGTTTTTCAGGCTGGAAGTGAATTAACTAAATTAATTAATTAAATACCATAATTTTTGCACAAAAAATTTAAGAAAGGTTCATAACATTTCTGCGACACCTGATTCTGAGGTATCGGGCAGGCTGCAAAGAAAGTCAGTTTTACAGCTTTCCAGTCGGGTAAGCTGTAGTTAGCATGTACTAGCCCGAACATCATTTTAACTAGCTGGAAAAAAAATTGGATGAGCAGGATTGATAACAGTTCTCCTGTTCTTCTCTTATTTGAATTACATACAGGTACCGTACCCAAAAAACTTCATTTGCCTGTTATGCAATTAAGAACGTAATTCACTAGGCCGATAGCAATATCTTCTGGCCCTCGGCTATCGGACTCGACTTTCTTTGCATGCTGATCAGTTAGAACATTATTTTTTTGTGCCCATTTCTGTAAGAAAAATGATCACACCTGTTTGTAATAAATGAGCTTGCGGACTCTCCAATACAATTGAACTTGGACTTTCACGAGGCACCCTTGACCTAAGGATGATTGGCATCTGGATAGGATCAGGTAAAACATTTACAGGGCTTGCCCACTCAACAACAGAAGAACTGCTGGTATCTTGTGGTTCGGGATCAAGTGCTACTGTATGTTTCAGTACAGGAGACCTTGAGTTTGATGTAGTAGACGTCTCCAATGGAAGCTGAACTGGACTTGGGGCAATTGTAGATAGTTCTTGTGTCCTTGGAAAATCAGTAGATGACTTCTGTACAAAAACAACAATAACACACAAAGTTAACAAACAAACAAAACAACAGAGAAAAAAGGTTCCAAATTTTTTATATTAAGTTTGGTTTGAAAAGTATTTATATATGTAGACAAATAATATTAAATAGATAGAATGATGTGTGTGGAGAGAAAAACTCAGAAAAAATTCTGAGTTCCAGATGGGAATTGAACCCACAACCTTCCAGACACTAGTCAGATGCTCTAACCACTGAGGTCCTGATCTGAGAACTCTACTGATGAGCAGGTCATTTGTGGGCCAACTGAATGACCGCATCGAGCAGTCACATTATGTCATATGAACAAAAGAAGTAGCTGCATTGTGCAGTCACGTAAATTAAGACTAGCATTACAGTTGATTTCAGAGCTGTGTACTATACACCCGGATTTTTAGACATGATTCCGCGGTCATGATTCAGCTGTCATGATTCAACCAAGAGGTTACCAAGCAGTACAGCATTTTTCCTTGAATATCCTACCGGAATCAAAGCACAGGATGTGAAATTTACTTTGATGGTAGCTTGAATGTTTGTCTTGTAATTCAGGAAAAGAGGACTGTGATCCATTGTTCTCCTTTTCAGACAACAGACTCTCACAAAAGTCACACAATCTAATCGTAGTACAAGTTATTGCATATGTTGTCTCGATCTATAAGTTTTTTGGCTTATTTCAATGAAAACAAATGTTGCTTTCTTTTATGTTTATCTGCTTTGCAAAATTTGAGCTCACCAGGGTCATAGGTTGAGGATCGAACACTGTTGATATCTTTCAAGGCTAGGAAAAAACAAAACATTCAAACTCTCCAGCAAATTCTTTCACAACGGTGGACTGATCAATTTAAATGTTGGTATCGTTTCTCCGCTTTCCACGTGATAAAGCTTTCCTCCTCAGGTAAAACACATTTGTCGGGATTTTAGCTTCATTACACTTACATCTTTTGGTGTTAATCAGTTTTTCTGTGATTTGAATTTACGAGTATTAAATTTTGCGTGTTTAAATTTTGCGAGGCTTTTTATTTGTGAATCTTTAATCTCATGATTTTTTTACAATCGCAAAAAAACACAAAACTTAAGACTGCAAAATTAAGTACCTGCAATAAGTTACATCTGCCAATCAGAATGTGAGATTCCATAGAATTCTAGCAGAGATTTACTAACATTACTACTGAATAGACAGACTGACTATGCATAAACCAGGGTCCAGTACTGTTGTTCAAAGACTGGATAACGCTATCCACTGGATAAATATCTGTCTAGTGGATAATGCAATTGGTTTCCCTAACACTTATCCAGCAGATGGTGATTTATGCAGTGGATAGCACTATCAAACCTTTGAACAACAGGTGCCTGATCTGTAATTTAAAATTTGCACGTATTTACACCAACATTGCAAAATGTAGGTCAGAATCAGACCCAGTGCCTGCGCACCATAAAGCCAATCCTTGGGAGATACACCAACTATAAAGTGGTTCCACAACAGGCAATGTAGCTAAGAGCCGGGCCACATACTTAGAATTTCACCATGGCCCATCACTTTGAAACCAAATTAATCAGTGGAAAATTCTAAGAATCAAAGAATGTGCACTTCTTGCAAAAGGAGAGATGGGGGGAAGGGAGCAATAGGACTGTAAAAAAATATAAAACACTTGCTTGTGCAAAAATGCTACTCATACAAAATAGTGAATAGAAAAAACACACATGGACTGCTGAAAATCTTGCAAGCAGGCTGAGATACCAGAACTAAAGGAATACAAACACTCGTACAACCCTGAAAAAGGCTGTAATGGTGATGAAGACAAAAGACTGGTAATGCTACAAGCTTTTGCCTCTGTTGTACATACAAAGATCATCTTTTTACAGGGAAGCTGTGAAAGCAAATACTTCTGCATCAAACCATACAAAATGAAAAGATTAAGAAATGAATGGATAAAAGGATGGCAATTTGTCCTTACTTGACTGGAGACAATAGTGTTGGCAGTGGATGATGCATCACTGCTCCAGCTTGTTTTGATCTTAAAACTTCTCACAGTTGTCTGGCGTTTTCTAGAAGGCAAAAAAAATGTTTAAACACTTCGGAAATTTATGGTCCACCAAAACACAATGCAGCCACCCCTTACATGGTAAAATCTAACACTTGCCAAAACCTAGTATTATTTTGAGGTTCACAGAAAAAAAAAATTTAAAAAATCAACTTCAAAACCCATTCCTTGAGAGTGAATGAAGTGTTTTCTTGATATCATTTAGTGTTCTCCTTATCAGGCAGTAACTGTTAAAATTTACTGCTTGAAGCAACACTTCTTACCGCCTGCAACCACTTGAAGGTTTACTAAAATTAAATAAGTAGTTTAAAAAAATACTCAAGTTGTGATCCGATCCGACTCTCACAAGGAAATGATGGAAAAGTACTCACTCTACATGTAATCGTTACCAGAATCAAATGTTCTAAATTGTTGTCTAAAGATATAGGCTGATTTGCGTAAAATATGTCTTGAAATGAGGGAATGATGTTGTAGAGAACTTAGCTCCTAAATTTGTCAGCAAGGGTGGGGCCATGTCCCTCACTCCACTACCCCTTCTTCTCCCAAGGAAAGTGCGCCTCTGACACATATTTTTTTGGCCTCACCGGCCATGAATGGCCAATTACCTGCAGAGCTAAAATTTAAGGAGAACACTGATCATTTTCCCAGACCACCCCTTGACTTACCCTTTACTTTTGTGCCTTCCATTTTAGAGGCCCAGGGTGCAAATTTAAAGGAAGTCAGTTTTACAGCTTGCCATTTGGGCCAGCTGTAGCTAGCATGTACTAGCTTACCATTGGCTGACACCGTTGGCAAAACGTAGATTGGACTGGATCGGATCATTTCTAGTAACCCTATCCCTTACCTTTTGTCATTTAGTGAGTTACAGGGGTTGATCTGATATGGTCAAATCCAGGTCTTTTTGATGCCTCATTTTGAGCAATTTCAAGTAAATTATGTGAATGGTTACCATTTATTGAGTTCTGTGTAAATCTTGCTGCAGGTAAGAAGCCTCAATCTTGCACAGGCAGATCGAGTTTATCAACATAGCATCAATTTATTGGGTAAAATTTCAGATTGTAATGAGAAGGTCGAGTTTAAGACATAATCGCTTTTTACACTGCCCATGAAATTCATCAAGGGCTCCCAGCTCTATAACCAAAACCGGCCCAGACTAAAAGAAGTGATATCGAGCCTTGAGTAAGTTTTGAATTTTCTAGAGTCTAAAAGGAAACACTGACGCGCTGATCGATTGAAAGCGACATGACAGCAAGCTCTATCATGCCCCGGCCGCCATCATCTTGTTCATTTCATGGATTTGAAGTTTCTCGCGTGTCTCGCGAGACTGTAACAGGCTCTGACAGTATAGGGGAGAAAAACATAAACTTACGAAGGCCTTCGTCTGTCCAAACCAGCTTGTTTGAAGGAGCGAAAAGAAGATAACTCAGAGTTCTGCGAGATCGGCGGATCATCGTCAACTTCTGCCGCCATTTTCAGTCAATTCAGTCCCCGTCCCAGTCCATTGCCGAGTCATAGTCTTTGCCCTAAAGGTCCGCAATGTGTGCAAAATAAGGTAATCAGTTGTACAATAAAAATATCAATCGTCTGGATTAGTGTATATTTGCTGCTGCTTCAGTGAAAAAGGGTCAAAAGGCAGGTTTCTTGCGCCCGATAAGCTCGATAATCACACTTGCAAAAGACAAGGAATGGAGAAATAGAAAGAGAGAGGAGGAAGAAAGGAGGAGAATAAAAACAGCAATGATTGCTCTCTTAGCTTCTATGTTGGCTACTTTTTTCAGAAAAAAAAACTGCTTGACGTAAGAGGTCTATTTGGCGGAAACGTTTTCAAAAATCCCACTAGATATTTAATATCTCTATTTGCAAAACCAAAAACAGAAATTGACAACCGTCCTTCTCCTCTAGCCTGCCAGAGCAGACGCCTTTTTCGGCTCTTAATCCAGGAGCCGAGAAAGGCATCTTCTCTCGCAAAGCATGATCATTGTCAATAAACATAGTTTTACTCCCTCTCCTCCCTTTACAAAAAGGCAAACAAGCACCAAAAGACGGTGTTGCAGAAAAAGATAGGGTGTTAGTCCGTCTATCATGGGTCAAATGATTTAAGTTGGAGAATGCAAAAATAGATGTGGCAAGCATCCTAGAACAACGATTCTACTGAAAATATTCGTTGTTCCGTTGTAGAATTTGACAGACCGAATAAAATACAATAGTTGAAAGTAGATATATATATATATATTTTATTTTTTGTTTATTTTCAAACATGTCAAAAACAACAGAGAAAACGTCATTGGCAGGTGAGTAGGTAAGTCGAAAAGTGTGAGAGACCATACTATACGAACGCGCGTCGCTAAAATTCAGCAAAATTACCGCGGTTATCTATGTAAAAATAATCCAGTCCTGTCGGATGAAAGTAAACCGAAATTTCTCAACCCAGATAGAACTCGGCAGATTTAGTCATTTACCACTCAAAACTCTAACTGCACAAAAAAGAGATGTATTTGTACAAATTTGCTCTGGGCAAATATGTAACAAATATATACAAACTGAGAGGCAAATCTGGGGCAAGAATGGTAAATACCTTATTTGCTTCCATATCATGGAGACAACCCTGTGTTTTTGGTTTGCAAATGTAGCATTTACCATCATTTTTTCCCCGATCACTCCTCTATTTTCACATTTTTGCGACGTATTTGCATGAGGCAATTTTGTGCAAATCCCTTTTTATAAGTTTTGGGTAATTCATAAACCATGACTGTTCTTTACTAGAAACGCGATTTTAATTAGGTAACAAGCAAAATTGATGACTTTTAGAAGTTTGTCACTTTTAATTATGCAAATGAATATGATATGACACGAATACAACCCCAGCTAGGTGAAACGTTTACATGGCAAAATCTGACCCTAGCCGAGAGAGTTACCCGGTCTAGACCGGGTAACCAACCTCAGTGGGCTATCCCACTTATCACTTAAGAGTGATCAAATTAAAATCAGAGATTATATGGACAGGCCAAGTTCCTTATCGGGTTACCTCACCAAACTGGGGTCCCCCACCTCAAGTCAATAAACACACAAGTGCAAGCTTCATCGCAGTGTTTACAGAAGAATAAATAAATGTGATCAGAAGTTTGTGTCCGCTTGCAAACGGAATCATGAGGACATAACCTCAAATTTTCATTTTTGACCACGTGACTTGCCACGTGGCCAAATAAAACATTAACTGGCTCCAAAAAAACCTCAACTTTTCCATTAATGAAAGAAAAAAATTCATTGTGTTCTGGGTATCCTAGGGAAAGATATTGCCAGTCAACGAATTTTCTCAGCTTATATACTTTGGCAGGCTTAAATTATCGTGCGCAATTGCTCTAAACTTGAGGATAATCTTTAGTAACACTCATACGGGCTTGTCCGTGGGCATTTCAAAAAGCATATGATTTTAGAATAAGGGCGAGAGATCGATAAGGATACGAAGAAGAAAAAGTTATCGAAAAAAATTTACTTCAAATTTAAGGACGTCAGCTTTGGAAGTTTACGACTCGCAGATAAAGAAGTTGGTGTTGGATAGGAGGCGAAAAAGTGATCTAAGTATGTCAGCCGTTCACCATAGTAACGACCGCAAGGGCAAGCGCACTTCTTATGAGAGTTTCGCCTATGAACTTCCAGCATCTCCGGGGAACAAAACACTTTGGTTGGGCAAAATGCGCATCGCAGTTGATTTTTAATGTGCTGTTGTAAGTCTCTTTCCTGTCGAAAAGAGTTTTCTTTGTGGTGATATATGCATTCCATGTTTGGGCAAATCAATCCATGTATTTCCTTATCATGACAAATGAGTTCTCTTTTCCCGGCAAAAATAATGCGACAGAGTGGACATTTATATTGTACAAAATCAAGCAAAGTCGGTGCAACTTTAAAATCCACAATTTCGAGCCGCACACGAAACTTTTTAAAAATTGCATCCGATAGCTGCTTGCAGTTTTCCTTTGATTTTGACATTACGTAGTATGAAAAACAGCGAGAGGGAACGCTAATTATTCCACTTCGACTCCTCTCCGATGAAGATTTTGTAGATCCTCCTCGACTGTAAAAACTTTCGCTTGTTTTTGGCCTCTTTTTATCCAGATCGGCTGTGAGGGAATAGTCAGCGTGAAATTTATACCGCGTCACATACGCTTCTAGTAATCTCCAAGCAGCATCGATGTTTTCTGATGAAGCGGGATGCTTAAATAACCACGGCTTATATTTTGGCAGTACCTTCGCTGGGATATTGTGGCGATAAAATGTATGCACAACAATATTGCCTCGTAGTGCTGGCGACAAAGAGATGCCCCTGATAAATTCAACGAAAGTCGCATCCCACTCGACGAAGAACACTATCCTTTGACTGGAATTCATTTCAGCTCCAATCTTCTTTCAAAATTGGTTGTCTTCGGAATGTGTCAAGTGTCAATTCCTCATGAACTTCATCAATTCTGCTCTCTTTCTTGCAATAGAGCCTCAAATTTAAGCTTTTTTCCCTCTCTGAGGTATAATAAATTAAACGGACAACGAGATTTCGCTAGCCTACTTATTTTTTATGAAAGATCAGGTAATTCAGTTCAATTGCTTCTCAGTGACTTTAAAAGTCCAAACATCCTCTGTAATTGAATTTAAAGGCCCTAATGTTATACTGGTAAACGAACAGAATGCGAAGGACGCGATAATGTCAATACTCCTTTACTTTGCATATTAGCCCAGTTTATATGTTTGTTTGTTTCAGATAATAAAGAAATGACAGGTGTTAACCATATTTATATTAGGTCGCATGGTAACTGCATTTCTAATGAAACTTTTTTTGTCCCTTCGCAGAGTGACATTGAATTTTTGAGCGTGGTTGAATACTATACGTGGGACCGTCCCAAAACAGCCGCATAACGAAATAAAACAAGGAAGGCGTTATGTCACGAGGATACATTTTTATATTAGTTCAATTCTGTGCTGAATGATCATTATTACTCTACTTAGCGCCTTTACTCATGCTCCTTGACTGTAGAGTTATAAAAAAGATATGAAAGACATTTCATCAAAGAGTAGTCTAACCATAATAAATTGTTATGATAATTTTCGCAAGCATAGCATGTCCCGATTGCGCTGGAAAATTCGCCCAAAAGTCGTGCTCAAAACATGGCAAAAAAAGTATTCAAATAGAGCTCGAATTTTTGAAAGAGTGCTTGAAATTTCGAAATAGTGCTCGAAAGTTGCTTGTAGTTTTTAATTATTTCCTAGCAGATGTTCATAAATATTCTAGTTTTGTCAAAGCTTTAACCCTCGATTTTCCAATAAGTGACCAAACTACAATTTATTATTTATCAGGCGCTAAATAGCATTCAAATATGATCTAATGCGCACTGTTAAAAGGATAATTGTGCATTTTCACAACAACATTCAGAGGACAAGGTGGGATTATCCAAATTCACGATAAAGGAATTACTCGGCGCGGCTTACTGAAAACGTTTCGACGACAAAAAAATTAAGTTAAACATGTGGAAAATTGTAAAAAAAAAGTGCTCAAAAAGCGAAATAACCCTCAGTTCTGCTAAAAAGCCAAGGAAAAAACTCAAGAGTGTTGGAAATGTAAAATAGTGCTCCAAATTCGAAAAAGTGCCGAAAAAGTCAGCCCAGCGCAATCGGGATACTGGCTTGATAGCATTGAACCTTGAAAAAGTTGGACCACCTTTTCAAGTTTTAATCCATGTCTATCCTTCCTATCTTTGCAACAGACAACAGTAAACGGTCTAAGAACTCTTTATCTTCTTCTTATTTTTGGAATTCAATTGATGCGAAGACCACTTTTAGCCTTAGAAAGGTCGAAATTAACTAGCGTGCCGTATCCCCTCAAAACAGCCCAAAATAGGCCGCAAAAACAAAAAAATGCGTAAGCGGAAACAAGATTCTAGTTTTTCAGTGTTAGCATTTCGTTCGAAGTTGCCTGAGAACGTATTAAAATAAGAGGAAAGAATAAAGCATTGTTTGCAAAGATTTACGACGCAACTGTACGATGATAGAGATGAGAAAAATCTCTGTCGCAAACTTAGTTTGCGTGAGTTCTCATTAGGGAATGTTTTTTGAACATGAGACAAGTTCTAACTATCAGGAGAAAGCACGTTGCCAGGGAACGCCCGTCGTCATCGTCGTCGTCCTCATATTTGTTCTTCTTTTTCACATTCGGCTTTGGTGGGCCTGTTTAACGAAAGTTTTCATAAAATTCATTGTTTTCTATTCAAGCTGGCCACCTAAAAAAAGGAAGTCAGTTATCCCGGGCTAGTTAAAAATAACTTCTCAGCAGGAATCGTTAACCTTACGATTGGAAAAATTCTTACAGTCAATATGGGCAACGGGGTTCGACTAATTTATCCTCTTTTGCCATACAGCGATAAAGTAAGGTCTTGTCGTCTAGGGTTCTAAAAATATCCGTGGTGAAAGGAGTCCGATTAAAATCA